GGGATAGTATAAAGAAAGCACTTTATCTTAGTCAGGCTGTTTTAACCCAAAGTGGGAACTACCCCCTGGCTCTGCCAACTTAGGCCCCTGCTACATGTTACATACATTTTACAATTAACTAGTTAATCACACAATAAATTCAGATGGACCACAGGTGCAGAGTAATCATAACACCAGAAATTGACTCTCCTGCTATAAAAAGAGCCAACCAGCTACAGTCAGTGCTTGACAACATATAACTGTAGCTGAACATGAGCCAAGGCCTACCTATATGCAGTGACCTGTTAGCAGGTGCACCTGCAACCTCTGTTCCTTGCTAAACAAAGGGGAAAAAAAGCCCTCTCCTCCTAGGGCTGATACTAAGGCCCCTGCCACACATTGCATACGTCAAGCAACATGCTAGTGAACCATGCCATAACCTGTGACTGGCCACAAATGCAAAGCAATGATCACCCATTAAAAGGACTCCCCCAGTATCAAGCTAGAGAAGCAGTGCTTGAAGAGGGGTAACAACTCTAGAGCCTGTTTCCAGCCAGCTTCAACAGTAGCAGATGACAAAATGAGGGAGCAACAGTCTCAAGTTGCAGCAAGGAAAGTTTAGGTTAGATACAAGGAAAAAACTCTCTCATGAGGTGGGCAGTAAACCACTGGGACAGGTTACCCAGAGAGGTGGCGTGATTTCCATCCTTGGAGGTTTTTAAAACCTAGCTTGACAAAGCCTTGGCTGGGATGTTCTACCTGGGGAGGGTACTGCTTTGAGCAGGGGGGCTAGACTAGATGTGACCTCCTGAGGTCCCTTCTTACTAGGTTTGCCAACTCTGAATCTATTCTAGGAGGTTTCATTGTGATGACATGAATGAGTCATGACGTCAGGAAGGCAAATGCACATGACTACTACATTAAAAAACCCCACTGGACTCCTGTAGGTATCAGATTCAACATTTAATATTGAATGAATGCCCTTTCATTGATTTGCCCCCGGGTGACTCTCAGCAGGAGATTTCTATCTAACTCCTGGAGGGTTGGCAACCCTACCAACCCTCCTCTTCTATAAGTCTGGGATGCAGAAGGGGCCCTTAAGGATTTAGAGCAGACTTCAGGCTGGGGAGAGACAAATTCCTCCTGACTTCCGGGCTCCAGGCAGCCACTGCTCCTTCTCTTTGCGTACCAGCCCTTTTCTGTGGGGAGCACGCCTGGGCGGAGGAGGAGGTTGGAGGAAGCTGCTTCTAATAAGCGCTCAAGAAGCAGCCGGGCAGCACCTCAAGCCTCGGAGCCGGGGGAGCTAGAGTTAGGAGCAGGGCTGCGGGGAGCGGAGGGGGAAGCCTCTCACCTGCGGGGATCCCAGCGCTGCCGCCGCCGCCCGAGCACCCAGGAAGGCAGGGTAGGGCGGGCTCCTGCGGGAGGAGCTGCGGCCGGTCCCCGCCCCCAGGGGCAGCCGGGCTGCTCTCCCCGCCCCGCAAGAGCGATGCCCCAGGAGCCCACAGCCCTCCCGCGGGCAGCAGGGGGGACTTTGATCCCTGAGAAGCTCGCAGGCAGTGCTGTGAGGCAGGGGGAGGTGCCACCCTTGCGGGCACCAGCGGCTTGCCTATGTGGCAGGCAGGCCCTGCAGCTGTGGAGCTGCCTGCCCAGGCGGGCCTGGGAGCAGTGGTGCTCAGGGAGACCCGCGGGGCCGCACCCGCGAAACACTCGAGTATCACGGCTTCTTTCATCTCTTCCTAGGTTTGGGGCAGGAAGGCAGTCGCCCTCTCAGGGGTTTCAGGCCCCAAAGGGACTGGGCCAAACTGTGACTCATTTAAAGTAGAACCAAAAAGAAAAACTCACGCCTCAAATGTGGGTCCTCTGGCAATGTTTCCCATTGCCCCTGCTCCCCCATGCAGGGAAGCAGGGACAGTATCCTAGTCTAATAAGCAGGTCCAGCCAAGGTGGTACAAAATACTATAAGTTTGTTTCAAGTTTGGGGGATTGGATACCTCTTCTTCCCAGCAAAATCATCAGACTTCCTTTTTATTACTAGAAATAATTTTTTCTCCTCTATTTGGGTGGTGCCTTTCTGTTTTCTTCAACTATTTCCCTTAGGATCACGAGGGAGACTGAATCTGACAACTTGAAATCTAGCTAGGCAAGATGAATCCAAAATCCAGCATTGCAATCTGCCCCAGAATCCTCCTGCTAATTTTTCATTTTATGCTAATATTTTTTCTTATAATTTTTAACCAGGGTTTCCATCCCATTCACTGCAAGCAACAAAGTGACAAGATGCTGTATACTGTCAAACCAAAATAATTTTTCCTGTCTAGTTGCTTTCAGTCACAGCAGGCTTAGGTGTCACTTGATATGGTTGTAGGTAAAGCATCTGCGGACAGAAGAGCTCATTTTTAAGTTACTTCTAAGGAGAGGCATTGGCAAAGGTTTTTCTCTTTGCTAAAGGCTTAAAAGGAGATAAAAGTTAATTTCAAGGTCTTGTCTACATTGTCCAATGGGCTGTTAAATGATTCCTCCTTAAAAGGAAATGGGGAAGAAATAGTTTGCTCCAGCCTATGGATGGATGCCAATTTATTAGTGTTTGTTTTTAAAATACTGTGAAGTACTACACGAATTTTTGTCTGAAAACTCAGCACTTGAGTTCATTACACTATTAGAAGACTATGGATAATGGAAAATCACTCTACATACCCTCTTTCCCTGCACCCCCCACTTTTGTCTTCAAAACTAAGAAACTAAAGGAAAAATGGAAACATTATATTAAAAACAGGAGAATTTGGTAAATGAGTATTACACAAGAGCTGCCTTGAATCCAGAGAAGATGTAATGGTAAAGAATGATCTAACTTTGCATCCTGCCAGAGCTCTTTCAACAGAAATATCAAGAGTAAAATTGCCATCTAAAAAAAGCCTTAGCATACCAATTTGGACACAGTGGGTGTGTCTACACATTCATTAATGTGCAGTGGTTACTGCACATTTAATTTAGTATTTGTATAATCAAGTACTAAATAAATGTGCAGTAAATATAGTTACTGTGCAGCAGCGCTGGCACATGCCTTTTTAGTGATGCTATTTGGCAGTAGCCTAATAATACTATGATTTGTAGATGGTGGGCCTAAATCTTGCTTTTATTGAAATTCGTTACCAATGGCTTTGAATTTGGAGATTTAATTTGTGATGATTGTATTTTTCTCTTTACAAAGACCTGTGAGAAAATAGAACTTAGTGCTGCAAAAGCAGTTTCCCTAGCATCCAGCTAGTAAGGCTCAAGTCACTGGAATTTGTTCTAGAGCTGGAGCCATAAGACCATAAAAGTCCTGTCCTGCTGTAGTCATTGGAGGATCACGGTGGTACCTGTTGCCGTATACCTTAGTTCCCCCTCTTCCAGTTTCAGCCACTGGCATCTATTCTTTTTGGATAGGTCAGTTCTGGTGCTTTCCAACCAGATCAGAACTCTATACCTCTTCCCAACTGCATGGAAGCTCTCCTAGTTTATTTTGAAGATTTCATAGTGTAGAGACATGTCCAAAATTAGCTTCCATGTAACGACTAAGTCTTTGAGAGAGGGAGGGAAAAAAACCCACCTGTCCCATAATACAAAGTCCAAGTAAAAGAAGCATGTATCCAATTAACCTCAATGCTGGGTCTTCATCTTGACTCCAAGCTCAGTAACACTTCTGCCTCTCACATCCATGGATTTGCATAAGCCTTACAGTTTTTAGGAGAAGACTTCTAGCACCTCCTGCCACTAATCTGGCTTTACTACAGGCGAGTTTAATTCATCTCCATGCAGGTCTCTGACACAGGTCTCTGGTACAAAAAGAGAAAAATACTTTCCAAGTGGAAAATCATTTCTACTGCAATTTGGGTGGGAACTGAAAGTGTCCCGTGGCAGTGCAGTGCCAAGAAGAATTAAGAAAACTTGCTTGAAAGTTAACCCCTTGGAACAAGTTAGGGAAAACCACCCAAGGAAGCTAGTAAAGAAACGTATTAGACCGCAAGGGGGCCAAGCACCAGCATGCAAATGTATAATAGAATCCCATCACCACCACTGCATTTATGCATTCATCAAAAGGATACACAATACTAATAGGAAGGCAGAAGGAAACTTCTGCAAAAGGCATTCTTAAGAACAATAGCTAAGATTTAACAATGTTTCCTATCATTCCAGTTGAAGACTAATAGAACACTGACGTTTTAAGGACCACTACCTATAAACAGAATTCATCACTATGGTATTCAGGTTTCCAGAGCTCCAAGTCCTTGTCCAGGTGCATATGCAGAGTGATAGCAATGTCAGTATGGTTCTAAGATGGTTAGACAGCTTTGCACACTACTATTTGAAAAGGATGTATGTTCTGTCTTGTAAGGAATGTCTTCCATAAGCCTGCCTGCCTATACCATGGAACTCCTTATGGAGGCCCTCCTGAGCACCACTTCTTCAGGTCACAATTGCCTAAACTACCTCTCTTTCCATTAATAACCAAACAGCATCACTGAGGCAACTAAGGTGTTTCCTAGATGGGAACAGGTGTTTCTTAGGTGCGTGTTTCTTAGATGGGAATATACATTGGGCAATTATTAAAGTATTTTAATGGTTTTTTAGGCAATAGATGTGTTTTGTCTTTTTTGAAAAAAAAAAAGAACTCATGCTCTCCATTTTTGTTCATTGTTATTTCTTCCACTCCTGTCTGTCTGGTTTCACTCTTCTACAAGTATTATGCAAAGCCAGCAGATCAAGTGCAACTTAAGAAAAGACATGGACATTACTGTAACAGATCAGTAAGAACAGTGACAAACCTGTTTCCAGCCAGCTAATAACCTGCCAGGGTTAAGTCATAGCTCTAATTTCTCCAATCCCTCATTCACAGTTGAGTACTTTCCCTCTAGCTCATCTTCGTTACATTTGAAATGAAAAGGAATCAAACTGTATCCATAAACAGTGCTCATAAGACTGCAATCCCCAACATTTTTTATAGTTTACAGGGAGCCTGAATGAGACTGCAACAAACTCACCCACACTTTTCTTCGATGATGGGTTAGCCTTGCCGCTTCTTTCAAACTCAGCAAACTGCTGTCTGCTCTTGCTTGCCACTTTGTCCAGACGTCTCTGCATCTCCCAAACAGGTTTCTTTCCAGCAAGCTATTTTGTCAGTTGTAGCAACTTAATCTTCACAGACTCAGCTCGTCTTTACAGATCAACGAACTGTGAAAGGATCAGACTTCCTGTTTCATTTCCGTTAAGCTTTTCAAAGTTTCATAGGCAGCAAATGCTTCTCCATACACAAGCCACAAGAAAAAAATAATCAAGCATAACTCAGCTATTTATAAAGGTCAAGTTGGTTACCTCCCTGTGCATCTTCCACATTGTTTGACTTTTGGAGATAAGGTGGCAATTTTCAAACTGTGGTCCATCAACCAAGGCAGACATATGGGGGGCTTTGTAGTAGTCTACCAAAGGACAAACAGTGCTGGATCCTCCTTTCCAAGTGCTAACTCATTTAAAAACTGAAAACAACACAACTATTCAGTACTACTCATCCATGTAACTGTAGTTACTGATTTTTCTGCAGGGACCTTGTGATTTTGAATGGAAAGGGAGTCAGGATACAAGACTATCCCTCTGTTGAAATGTAGGCCACAAAGTGGGGTAAATGTAAACACGACCCACTTAACAGCAGGTAAATTAAAATAAGGTCAAGCAAACATTTAAGGAGGTTCTTGACTGTTCCTTCTCTCAGTTTAGTTAAATGATATTTGTTGTTCTTCAGTAGTCTAAGCCAACTTATTTTAAGACTCATGTCTTCCTATTAGTATCATTAACGAACGCTTGATCCAGTACTCCATCAAATCCTGTCTTCTGCTCCTGAGGATACCCAAAAGCTTTGTATTTTAGAACAGTTTCCCTACAGTAGAGTGTGTTTGTACAGTGCTATAAATGGGAACAAATTATAACTTTTTCTTGACTCTTACACAGTCCCTTTCATGCAAGGTATAATTACCTTTTTCACATGGCATAAGGCTAACATACTTGTGCATAACATTACCCACTCCTTTTTTTGGTAGCATTGTTGCTTGTAACATTAAGAAATTTAGCACACATGGAAGTAAAACCACTTATGGCTGTTAATCCTTCCTATAAGTCTGCACCTCAAGAATGCAAAAGTTAAGCTGTAGTTTCCCTGAGACCCAATTGGATGTTTTGGCCCCTTCTGGGGCTTCTTCCTGTCTCATTGTGCCCATTTACTAAAGATTTTTTTTCTTTAATTTATCATAAGTATTGTTCAGCTAGCTTTAAATGCTTATCTGCACTCTTATCTTCATTTTTCAAATGGGTTATAGTATCAGACTTTCAATGGGGGAACTGGAAGTTTATTGAGGGTGGTCTTTGAAGTACGTGGGAAGGTATTAGTAGCTGAAAGGGAACAAGGGGTGAACAACCTCCTTATTTTCAATCAACCTTCCTCTTTCCTTTGTTCTATCTCCTTTCTCCTTAAAATGAAAGAGACAGCAGGGCAGTACGAAGCGGCTAGTATTTCTTTGGATTCGGCCGACAGTGATTCAGTTTGGTGATTCAAATCACTTCCTTGAATCGATTCAGTCGAATCTGTTTCGGAGATTCAGCCGCCGCTGAATCGGCTGAATCTCTGGATCAGACAGGCCCCACCCCCCACCTGCTTTCCCAGCCCCAGCTTCTCAGCCCTTAAAAAAAAAAAAAAAAAGAGTCCCACACTCACCGGCTCCTGCCAAGCCGGGGCAGGGGGCAATCCCCACTGCCCCTCACTGCCCCACATTGCATGGGGGGGCTCTGCCACGTGCCCCCAGGGGCCCTGACAGCCACTGCAGCAGCTGGTGAGTGCAGAGCCTTTTTTCTTTTTTTTCTATTTTCCTTTTTTTTTTTTTTTTTTTTTTTTT